TGATCAAAGTCCAAATCACTATGGGAAAGAGAAGAGACCGGAGTCGACGCAAGAGTGGAACTTGTCAAACACCATGTACTCATCATCTTCAAGGTCTATATGGCCACTCTCGAATGTCGCTCCTCAATCCATGACATGTATATATGCAAACAACAAGAAGGAAACAACAATGAAAGTGTAGCCCATTCTTCATGCTCATATCAAGATGGCTCAAAGGGAAAGAATTCACCTTAGGAAGGTTCCCGAAGAACTTGTTGGCAAGCATAGTGTATATCTTCTCGTGGGCAAGATGTCTCATGGCGACACCACCTTGTGATTCCTTCAAATGAGCAAACGGAACCAACAGTTTGAAACACAAAAGGTGGTTAGCGTGAGCACAATAGCCATCATTCATGTGGTGATTCACCCAACAAGTGTCGTCATTGTGCTCAGTATAATGTGTGCCACGAGGATGAGGAGTATGTGCCATTCACCTCAATTCATGTCGTTCCTCACGTCGGGCTTGTTCATCATCTTGCGCCTCTCGTTCTCTTCTTTGGCGCTCTTGGTGTTAGAATTGAGCGTCACGGAGTGCTTATTGTGCTTCGTTTTCTTGGCGAAGGGTGTCTTATTCTTGGCGCATTTGTTGCTCAAGGGCATCTTGTTCTTCATGATGGCGTCGCTCACGCTCTAAGATGTGGTCTTGTAATCCATTCCCGCGGATTGGAGGTGAAGCTTGTTGATCGTGCGTTGGTCTTGAAGACGAGCACGAGGCGGTATGGAACTTGCATTGGATGGGGGCTCCAAAGGTTGGTGACTTGAGCGTCTTCTCCTTGATGAGGACGAAGATGATGAAGACTTGCAGTTGACCATCAATGCTCGAAGTTCATCCATTTGAGTTGTAATCTTGGTCGAGGTACTCCCTTGTCCGTGCTTCGGATTGGGATGACATTGGCGAGACCATTGATGTGGTCGTTCAAGACACCAATGGAATCATGCATCACTCATTGGAGGCTGAAGTGATCAGTTTTGGTGACGGAGTTGTTCGCGTCTTCGTTGTAGTCGAAGACCGGGTTCAATGCGCTTGGCCTATCCATGACAAGACTCGAGCAAAGGTTAGTAGGAAATGAGAGAACAATACCAAATTACCTTTCCCAAGGTTGAGAATGTATTGAGTATCACTCAATGTGAATGCTATGATAGTGGAATTGGTACCAGACTTGTTTCTCGCACCTACAAAGTAAAGTTTCTCGAGGAGCTCGGTTAGGATAATTGGCACAAAATTCCAGCAAGTTTTAGTCAAGATATGCAAAATGTTGAAGAGGATTCACAAATTGCAAGTAAAGCAAATTGATCAATAGCCATGAGTGGTACATGGGAACACACACACACAAATGTGCAACCAAGGAATGCACAAAATGTGTTTCCACGGAAAAGCTCATGTTGCACAACGCGAGAGAGACGCTAGCATGATTGCTCAAATGGGCGAGATATGTCCTTGTGCACCAACCTACAAGAACAAAACATGTTTTCTATCCCAAGTATGCTTAAAAGCTTTTCTCTCTTTTTTATGCTTCCTTGCCAAGATGCTTGATGCACGAGCCAATGTAGCAATTATGTATGCACGGGAGTAACTTATGACACAAGAGGTGATAACAAGGTTGATGCACGCACTTGCAACTACGCGTAGTATGTATCACTACAGTGCAGAAGTAACTTGGCCCGACAATACTCAAATGGCTAGTCTCAACGAGCAAGTGACACAAAAGGCTCGGGGCTAACAATGCAATGGCAAGGGAAGGTGAGATGATGACGGAATTGATACCTACGTCAACACTACCTTCGTCGAGGTCGGAGAAGTTACTGTCCTTGCTTACGGTCATGGTGTCAAAGGGTGAAGTGGTCGTTGTCGATGACGGGTTCGTAGGCGATGATGAATGATGGTGATGTTGATGTCGTCGCGTCCCTAATTAGCCGAAACACATTAGGAAACGGAAAACCGCAACTCAAAATCTCAAATAAAATGGGTCAAAATTGGGTTATGAAGCGGAAGGTAGGTTGTCGTGGGCGAAATGGGTGGCATTGCAGAAGGTATGGTGGTGTAGAGGTTGCTAGGTATGCGGAAGGCTTGGTGGTGGGGCTTAGTTTTTTTGGATTTTTAGTTTCGATAGGCTGAAGTCGGATGAGCTGGACTAGGTTTTAGATTGTCTGGGTGTTGGCTGGATCGTCCGGGATGGGATCCGGATGATCCGGGCAAGTCAACTCGTGGAGAAAACTGCTCGGGATGAACTCGAAATTTTGGGGATAATTTTTTGGGGGTGGGTTTCATGGTGGGGAAAGGTGTGGGGGTTGGGGAAGGCCAGATCCACTTGCCAAACAACAAATTCATGGATCCAAATGAACAAATTCTCGCATGAACCAACAAAATGAAAAAATTGGTGGGGCTATTTTTGGTGGGAATTTTCGAAATTGTGTGAAAAGAAACAAAAATAGGGCAGAAAGTGAGAGGGTGGAGTGACTCCACGATGTGAATCAACCTTGCTTTGATCGAAGATGATGTAGGGTGGAACCCTAGATGGCTAATCTTTTCACACTTGGAGGGGGAAAAGGAAGAACAACCAAATCACAAGAGGGAAAACCACTCAGACAAGTCCAAATCACACATCGACTAGAATAACACACATGAGATTCACAAGAATACAAGAACAATCCAATGTAAATAGCACTAGGGTAGAGTTCATCTCAAATCCTAAGGAGATGAGGCTTGGAGACCTCAAGAGATCCTTCTTCCATCGGAGGTCTTGGTGATCCTGTGATGGAGATTGCTACTGACTGGTAGTACTCCCTAGCCATGGCTGGGGTATGGAATCGTCGAACTCACGATACAGAGACGTGGAGAGGAAGAAAGAGCCGAGGAAGAAGACTTGATTCAGAGGAAGGAGAAGCTAAGTCTTCTCCATGACAATCTTGGTGGTACCTAAGTATGCACAAGGTCTCCGCTTGAGGTAGCATCCATGTCTCACGTGAAGTGAAGGGAAGCTCAATAATGAGAGAAGACAACTCGTTCTTGATAGCTTGTTTACATGCTCTCGTCATTGGTCCACTTGGTGCTTGGGGCGATGGTGGTGTATCCATGCGGATGACCGTAGGGTGCTCCGCACCAAAATGTCTCAACTCATCACCATATGCCCGCCATGGTTGAAGAGAAAGTCATGCTCAACCATCTCATTACCGTCGCTAAGGATGAAGGTCATAAGGTGTGGATCATCATCATTCGCCACCATGATGACCAAAAGGGAATATCCCATGCTTGGCCATCTCACATGTGGTGACCCCGAAGATGGAGTGATCTCCCTTTGCTTGTAGTTGGTCTCCTTGATGTTGGCGTCGTAGCTTCTTGTCAGTGATGGTGTCGGTGTCGGTGTTATCTGGAAGTAGATGGTAGCTTGGACGCATGTGCATTT